GACGACGGCTTCCTGAAGCCGTCGTCCTCGCTACAAAAGCCGCCGTCCAAATTCCCCTCCTCCGACCACAGAACTTCACAACAAACTCAATGTCAACATGTCAAACAAAGATTACATGCAAGGGACATTCTTAGGAGAATTCTTTTGGGGGCCGCTAGCTTGTCCAGGGCGTCGCACGCTGCAGCCGTCTCCGTGCGCGTCCCTGGGATCGCCGCTCGCAGCCGTTGCAGCAGCGAGGACGCGGGATCTGCAACTTAGGCTCGTGAAGCAGCCGACGCAGGTGCGGCTCGCGCCGGCGCGGGACAAGAAGCTGCTCGTAGTAGACGCGATGGTACGGCACACCCGCGATCCTCTGCCTCCATCGCGCGAGCGTGGACTGAAGATCCAGAAAAACAAAGATGCATCCAGAGGCGACGCTCAGAATCTTGGCGCCTCGCTCCAAAGAAAAGAAAGAAAACAGCCAAACCCAGACGAGGGATGGGGGAGGAGGACAGGGTCCCCACCTGCACGAGCAGGTAGGAGGTAGTAAGGTGCAGGATTCTGGATTTCTTTTTCGGCAGCTGCCCGCCACCTCGGAGCTGCTCAGCCTGCTCCCAGGCCAGAGTGAGCGCCGCGGGGTGAACGGCAGTCAACCCGGAGCGCGTCCTCTTGAGTGTGCGCGCGCGTGCGCGCGCGCGCACGCCGGCCTTCTTATTTCCGTCGCGCGAAGAAATGAGGCTCCTCCGCACCGGCGAGGCGTTTCAGACCCACGGCATGTACTCGCTCTCCGCTGACTCCTCCGACTCGATTGAGATTGACTGCGACGGCGGCCGCGGCCTCGCAGGGCACGTCTGGGGCGCGGGCGCCGCGCTGGCCGCCCTGCTCCTCTCGCCCGAAGGCCGACGCCGCTTCCTCGCCGACCGCCCTGACGTCGTGGAGCTCGGATCGGGCACGGGCGTCGCCGGTCTTGCCGCGGCAGCCGCTGGCGCTTCGTCAGTCCTCCTGACCGACCTCCCGCCGGCGGTGCCCGCGCTCGCCGCCACCGCCGCGCGCAACGCGCACGTGCTCGAGGGCTGCCACGTCGCGGCGGCGCCGCTGGCGTGGGCGGACGCCTCCGAGGTGGCGCACGCCCTCGCCCCGTCGGGGTGCGACTTGATTCTCGCGGCGGACGTGCTGTACTCGCCCGACGCGGCGGAGCAGGAGGCGCTGCGCGGTGCGATGCTCGCGCTGGCGGCGCCGCGTGGCGCGCTGGTGCTGCACGCGTACGAGGAGCGGTGGGACTACGTGCACGAGCCGTGGCGGCGCTCGCTGGCCGGCAGCGGGCTGCGGCTGCAGAGCGAGGAGGAGCTGCAGGTGCCGACGACCGGCGCCGACGGAGCGCCGACGCTGTTCAGCGCGCCGTCCGAGCTCGGATCGGTTGAGCGGCGGAGGCTCGTGCTGGAGCTCCTGCGCGTGGACGACGGCGAGGAGGCGCCGGGTGGGTGAGTGTATACATGTGGTTGTGCAGAAGATCTCGAGCAAGAACTTATTTCATCTTGTTTTGGCGAGTATGGTGTATGCTCCGGTCGTGTCACGATTTTCGGTCACCGAAAGGAAGGGGGGAAAAGACGTGAAGAAGAATGCAACTTTTTGCAACGAAGAGGTAGCCTGTTCACATAGCCTGTTCACACCTCAAGCCGACAGTGCCCGGTGGGTGTCTCAAAATCAAGAGGCACCACTTGCCCCCTGGCCTCGCGCGCATTCTCGGCTCACCAACGATGATAGTCCCCGCGCTCGTCGTCCTCGCCGCCTTGAGCCCACACCGCGCGCCTCCGCCCGCAGCTCGATCGCCGCCTGTGTCCCGACCGCCGCTCCCGGTCGGTGCATCCTCTGCCGCGGCCGCCGTTGCCGACTGCTCTGGCCGGTCTGGTTTGTTCTCTTCAGTGCACGGCAGGCACATCAGCGGCACGGAGAGCCGGCCGCTGCGGCGCGCGAGCTCCGTCATCGTCGAGGCCGTGCAGCCGGCGGGAGCAGGCTTCAGTGTGCGCTACCGCGAGGCGGCCGGCGGAGAGCTGCAGCGGGCGGGCCGGAAGTCCTTCCTCCGCGAGCACCCCGAGCACTCCGCGAGGGTGGAGCAGATGGTGGCGGAGTGCGGCCGCGGCGGCCGACGCGGCGTGAGCGCCCCGGCTCTCATGCGCCAGGCGCTGGAGCTGCGTGGCATCTGTGCTTTGTGACGCTTGAGAGCGAACTTTCTGGACGGCCTTCTCGGCTCCTTCCCACATAGGCGCTGGACGAGGCCACGGCGCGGCTGAGCAAGCACGACCAGCTGTCCCTCGCCGACCCCGGCCTCGGGGGCGCCGTCGAGGAGTACTACGACGAGTACACCGAGGCGCTGCGCCAGGCGCCGCGGGACACAACACCGCATGCACACACACACCGACAGTCAGACACGCAGACTCACACACTCACACACACACACACACACACACACACACACACACACACACACACACACACACACACACACACACACACACACACACACACACACACACACACACACACATGCACACACACACACACACAGACAGACAGACAGACAGACAGACAGACAGACAGAGAGAGAGAGAGAGAGAGAGAGAGAGAGAGAGAGAGAGAGAGAGAGAGAGAGAGAGAGAGAGAGAGAGAGAGAGAGAGAGAGAGAGAGAGAGCACACCTCACCCACGCGCATTGGGCCTTGCACATTGAATGCCGTGATGTCGCGTCCGAGGCCCTTGCCCCACCACCTCGTGTGTGTGGAGAGGTGTACCTTACCTTCCCCTACCCTACCTGCTGCCTCAGGAGGGCACCCTCTCCCTCTCCTCCCCGCTCCTCGACACGGCGGCAAGGGTGGCGGTCGAGAGCGGCGGCGGCGGCGGCGGCGGCGGTGCCTTGGGCGGACTTGGCAGCGCGGGGGCCGGCGGCGCCACGGTGTGGGGGCCGTTTGCGACTTGCCTAGATCCGCGCCGCGCATGTCCCTTCACACACACCTCGACCCCTGTGGAGCAGGCGCCGGGGCCGCTGGCCACCTACCTCAAGTGCGAGACGAACGCTCTCCGGCCCCAGCTCTCCGTCTGTGAGCCAGTGTGCGCGTTGAATGGCGAGTACACCACGGCTGCTTAGGTTCAACTCGCGCTCCGGCCTCAGCCTGCTCAAGCCACACGACGGGCCCTTCCGCGGCGCGAGATCTGCACCGAGATCCGCCGAGATCTGCCGAGATCTGCCGAGATCTGCCGAGATCTGCCGAGATGAACGGCGAGACTCGCCGAGATTGGCGGATATGGCTAGACCAGACCGCCCGTGCGCTCTCTCCCCCCTCCGTCGCTCTCAACGGCCGCCGCAACATAAAGTGGGTGAACTGATGAGCCGGTCGCCAGGCGTGATCCTCACGGCGACCATCGAGGGAGCGACACTGCAGTACGCGGGCCTGCCGCTGGCTCTGTTCGACGGCGTGGCTCTCGGCTCTCCGCCGTCGGCAGTCCTGAAGCCTTGGTGGAACCTTCTCGGGTCCGTCCCTGTAGGCCGGCTCGACTGGCTCGCGCTTGGCGGAAAGTGGCGCCGCGCGCGGCTGCACACGGTGGAGTGAAGAGTGGCGGCTGGCGCAGCTAGAGCAACAGCAGGGAGAGGCCCAGTGTGGGCAGAGGGGGGTCTGCGGCGTTGCACGCTCCAAACCCCGCCCAGATACTGCAACAGGAGTGCAAAAGTGGTTGTGGCGTCGTGGAGCGTTAAAATTTGTAAGTGAGCGCAAGTAAGCGGTCTCCACACTCTAATTCTAGATACTAAAGTACAGGGGGCTGCGCGAGTGGGGCTAATATTGGGGGATGGGGCTCGCGTCAGCTTGCTGTTTTCGCCGCCTTCTAGAGGATCTCTCTGACCCCCCTGATCGCGAGTGGCGAGATGTGTGTGTGTCTCGCGCCTTGCGGGGGGGGAGCGGAAAGGAGGAACCTCTTCCCAAGAGCACCACTCTTGGAGCGCCGCCACTACCACCCAGAGCGCTGCAAGCAGCGCCGGGCAATGACTGACGGCTTGCCGCCCACCCAGCCCCCCCTCCCTCGGCACACCCCGGCAGCCAATGTGTGACGGCTCGAACCCGCTAAGCCATCCCGCAAGCGGGATGGCCCGCCACTCGAACCCGCAAGCGGGCGTACGAACCGCGAGCGAGATGTGTTTTCATTTCACTTCGAATTTACAACTTTTACGACATTCCGGCGCTTGCATTTCGGCGCGTTTGTGACCCTGCGCCATTGATGCCGGGCTGCGCCACCTTTTGTGCCTTGAAGACGCAGCAGTGGGCGGTGCGGTGTGGCTGGAACGGCTGCGGTAGCTGTGCAGAATGCTTCGTCCCGCCGCCACCCGCTCCGCAGGCAGGTGCGTGCCCAAGATTCTGTAACGTCAACTCCAAAGCGTGGGCGCAAAAATGTGGCTGGAACGGCTGCGGGGACTGTGACCGTTGCCTGGCCACTCACCATTGCGGCGAGTGCGCGGGCTTCTGCCCTGGCAAGACGCAGACGTGGGATGGGGGAGGCAAGTGCACTTGGAATGGCTGCGGCGGCTGCGCACCGTGCTGGCCAGGCCGACGGTGCCGCCCACCGCCACCCACCTCATATCGCCGTGGCTCTCGCCCGAGAAGAAGCGGCGGACCGAGACCCACGCAACCTTGGACCACCACTCGCCGCTCCAAATGACGAACGGCGGCTCGCTCGAGGGGGAGGATGGCGGGGGGGAGGATGGCGGAAGAGACGGCGACGGCGGCGGCGGCATCGGGGTTGGCGGAGGCGGCAGGAGCGGGTCCCTCGGTGGCAACAGCGGCGGCTGCGGCAAGTCTGGCGGCGCGTAGTCGTACGAGGATGGCGGCGGCGCGTAGTCGTCTGTCGACGCCTTGCCGCCGCCGCACGCGCAGCACGCCTCAGCCGCGCGCTTGCCTGACATAGCCGAGATATGGCCGAGTCAGAGCTGAATCATAGCCGAGATAAAGCCGAGATGAGATTTGCCGAGATGTGTGACTAGCCACGCTCGCCTCCAGTGCCCGAACCGGGGTAGTCGCATGAGAAGCGGCGGCTCCCCTCCAAGTTTATATATGGCAAGCCCAACCGGCCGCCGGCTTCGGCGAGCCACGCGCAACCGATGAGGTCGCCGTTACTGACGGTCCAGGCATCCAGATCCCAGCCAGCATCCGCGCACTCGCCGCACTGCCCCATACCGTTGCGAGCGCCCCCATCCCAGCGGCAGGGGCTCTCTGCGCGGGAAGAGAGAGCGACGCAATCGCCCCTCGTCACCGCATCCCTGCACTGCGGCGGCGGGGCGTACCCGGCGCAGGAGGCGACGGCGCCGCACCCGTAGAGGGCCCGAATGCGCGCGATGTCCTTGGGCGACAGGACGCTGTTGGAGCCAAACTCGGACCCGGCGCTCACAACCCGATAGCCGCCGTCGCCGTCGGAGACGTTTTGGTTGCCATTCTTGGTCAGCATCACCGGATCGCCACCCGGAACCGCAAACGTGTAGGACGAGTAGAGCATGATGGAAAACCAATCCCACTCGGCCGCCCATGCCGCCTCGCCCACGGCGTTTTCATAGTCCTGCTCATCGAACTTTGTGAACTGGCCAGCATACTCTGTCGGTATGTTCTGGACGTCTATGTAGTCGTCGCGGTTGGGGCGCTGGTGCTCGTGCATCGTTCCGAGGCTATGCATCAGCTCGTGGATAACGACGGCCTTCTTGAACAGCGCCGGTGGGCCCCCGCCGCCGCAGCCCCATGTGAGGTCAATGGCCGAGGACCGCAGGATTCCTCTCGACTTGTCGTACCAGTCGTCGGGACCTGGGGCTCTCTAGCCCGTAACCCGATCCCGATCATCTTGCTCGCTGGGTGCCCTTCTTAGCTCCCCGCGCCGGCCCTTTACTAACTGCACTCCAAGTGCTCCAAGTGCACTAACTCTAGAGTATGCTTTCTGTGAAGAGACGCTGTGCCTAAAAGGGCGCGGGGACGCTGAGAAAGTTGCTCAAAATCGGCCTAGAAAATGGACCGCCCACGATGGCTGACGCTCGATGCGCCCTCGCGGCCGTCGGAAATCGCCAACACCGGCTCCATCGCGCGGCTGCTGCGGCCGGGGTCCGAGGCGCTCTGCCGCGAGGCTGACTGGCACTCGCTCATCGCGGCGGCGGTCGAGAAAAAGGCGCAGCCAGATGTTGTTGATCAGCTCGCGGCCGCACTCAGGATGGCCTCCGACCCGGCGCACGGGGTGCTGCTGCTCTCTGTGACGTGCCGCCTCGTCCTCCAGACGCTCGCGGCCGGCGGCGACTCGACGCAGGCGCTGACGGTCCTTCCCGAGCCCCTCGACCGATTCCTCCTCGGCCGCCGCGTCTCCGGCAGCCCGGCCGCGTCGCTCGAGGCCATCGTCACGGCGCTGTCCGGCGCCGCCGAGTGCTATAGAGTGCACGGGGAGTGCACAGGGAGTGCTTTGTGAGTGCTTTCGAGTGCTACCGAGTGCTATCGAGTGCACGGGGAGTGCTCTGTGAGTGCTTTTGAGTGCTACCAAGTGCTATCGAGTGCATGGGGAGTGCTCTGTGAGTGCTTTTGAGTGCTACCGAGTGCTATAGAGTGCACGGGGAGTGCTCTGTGAGTGCTTTTGAGTGCTACCGAGTGCTATAGAGTGCACGGGGAGTGCACAGGGAGTGCTCTGTGAGTGCTACCGAGTGCTATCGAGTGCTATTGAGTGCACGGGGAGTGCTCTGTGAGTGCTACCGAGTGCTACCGAGTGCTATCGAGTGCACGGGGAGTGCACGGGGAGTGCTCTGTGAGTGCTTTCGAGTGCTACCGAGTGCTATCGAGTGCACGGGGAGTGCTCTGTGAGTGCTTTTGAGTGCTACCGAGTGCTATAGAGTGCACGGGGAGTGCTCTGTGAGTGCTTTTGAGTGCTACCGAGTGCTATAGAGTGCACGGGGAGTGCACAGGGAGTGCTCTGTGAGTGCTTTTGAGTGCTACCGAGTGCTATCGAGTGCACGGGGAGTGCTCTGTGAGTGCTTTTGAGTGCTACCGAGTGCTATCGAGTGCACGGGGAGTGCTCTGTGAGTGCTTTTGAGTGCTACCGAGTGCTATAGAGTGCACGGGGAGTGCTCTGTGAGTGCTTTTGAGTGCTACCGAGTGCTATCGAGTGCACGGGGAGTGCACGGGGAGTGCTCTGTGATTTAGTGCTTTCGAGTGCTACCGAGTGCTATCGAGTGCACGGGGAGTGCTCTGTGAGTGCTTTTGAGTGCTACCGAGTGCTACCGAGTGCACGGGGAGTGCACAGGGAGTGCTCTGTGAGTGCTTTTGAGTGCTACCGAGTGCTATCGAGTGCTATCGAGTGCACGGGGAGTGCACGGTGATTGCTCTGCGAGTGCTTTCGAGTGCTACCGAGTGCTATCGAGTGCACGGGGAGTGCTCTGTGAGTGCTTTTGAGTGCTACCGAGTGCTACCGAGTGCACGGGGAGTGCACAGGGAGTGCTCTGTGAGTGCTTTTGAGTGCTACCGAGTGCTATCGAGTGCACGGGGAGTGCACGGGGAGTGCTTTGTGAGTGCTTTCGAGTGCTACCGAGTGCTATCGAGTGCACGGGGAGTGCACGGGGAGTGCTCTGTGAGTGCTTTTGAGTGCTACCGAGTGCTATAGAGTGCACGGGGAGTGCACAGGGAGTGCTCTGTGAGTGCTTTTGAGTGCTACCGAGTGCTATCGAGTGCACGGGGAGTGCACAGGGAGTGCTCTGCGAGTGCTTTTGAGTGCTATCGAGTGCTATCGAGTGCACGGGGAGTGCTCTGTGAGTGCTTTTGAGTGCTACCGAGTGCTACCGAGTGCACGGGGAGTGCACAGGGAGTGCTCTGTGAGTGCTTTTGAGTGCTACCGAGTGCTATCGAGTGCACGGGGAGTGCACGGGGAGTGCTTTGTGAGTGCTTTCGAGTGCTACCGAGTGCTATCGAGTGCACGGGGAGTGCACGGGGAGTGCTCTGTGAGTGCTTTTGAGTGCTACCGAGTGCTATAGAGTGCACGGGGAGTGCACAGGGAGTGCTCTGTGAGTGCTTTTGAGTGCTACCGAGTGCTATCGAGTGCACGGGGAGTGCTCAGGGAGTGCTCTGCGAGTGCTTTAGAGTGCTTCCGAGTGCTTCCGAGTGCTATCGAGTGCACGGGGAGTGCTCAGGGAGTGCTCTGCGAGTGCTTTAGAGTGCTTTCGAGTGCTTCCGAGTGCTATCGAGTGCATGGGGAGTGCTCAGTGAGTGCTCTGCTAGTGCTTTAGAGTGCTTCCGAGTGCTATCGAGTGCACGGGGAGTGCATGGGGAGTGCTCTGTGAGTGCTTTTGAGTGCTACCGAGTGCTATAGAGTGCACGGGGAGTGCACAGGGAGTGCTTTGTGAGTGCTTTCGAGTGCTACCGAGTGCTATCGAGTGCACGGGGAGTGCACGGGGAGTGCTTTTGAGTGCTACCAAGTGCTATCGAGTGCATGGGGAGTGCTCTGTGAGTGCTTTTGAGTGCTACCGAGTGCTATAGAGTGCACGGGGAGTGCACAGGGAGTGCTCTGTGAGTGCTACCGAGTGCTACCGAGTGCTATCGAGTGCACGGGGAGTGCTCTGTGAGTGCTACCGAGTGCTACCGAGTGCTACCGAGTGCACGGGGAGTGCACAGGGAGTGCTCTGCGAGTGCTTTTGAGTGCTACCGAGTGCTATCGAGTGCACGGGGAGTGCTCTGTGAGTGCTTTTGAGTGCTACCGAGTGCTATAGAGTGCACGGGGAGTGCACAGGGAGTGCTCTGTGAGTGCTACCGAGTGCTATCGAGTGCTATTGAGTGCACGGGGAGTGCTCTGTGAGTGCTACCGAGTGCTACCGAGTGCTATCGAGTGGACGGGGAGTGCACAGGGAGTGCTCTGTGAGTGCTACCGAGTGCTATCGAGTGCTATTGAGTGCACGGGGAGTGCTCTGTGAGTGCTACCGAGTGCTACCGAGTGCTATCGAGTGCACGGGGAGTGCACGGGGAGTGCTCTGTGAGTGCTTTCGAGTGCTACCGAGTGCTATCGAGTGCACGGGGAGTGCTCTGTGAGTGCTTTTGAGTGCTACCGAGTGCTATAGAGTGCACGGGGAGTGCTCTGTGAGTGCTTTTGAGTGCTACCGAGTGCTATAGAGTGCACGGGGAGTGCACAGGGAGTGCTCTGTGAGTGCTTTTGAGTGCTACCGAGTGCTATCGAGTGCACGGGGAGTGCTCTGTGAGTGCTTTTGAGTGCTACCGAGTGCTATCGAGTGCACGGGGAGTGCTCTGTGAGTGCTTTTGAGTGCTACCGAGTGCTATAGAGTGCACGGGGAGTGCTCTGTGAGTGCTTTTGAGTGCTACCGAGTGCTATCGAGTGCACGGGGAGTGCACGGGGAGTGCTCTGTGATTTAGTGCTTTCGAGTGCTACCGAGTGCTATCGAGTGCACGGGGAGTGCTCTGTGAGTGCTTTTGAGTGCTACCGAGTGCTACCGAGTGCACGGGGAGTGCACAGGGAGTGCTCTGTGAGTGCTTTTGAGTGCTACCGAGTGCTATCGAGTGCACGGGGAGTGCACAGGGAGTGCTCTGCGAGTGCTTTTGAGTGCTATCGAGTGCTATCGAGTGCACGGGGAGTGCTCTGTGAGTGCTTTTGAGTGCTACCGAGTGCTACCGAGTGCACGGGGAGTGCACAGGGAGTGCTCTGTGAGTGCTTTTGAGTGCTACCGAGTGCTATCGAGTGCACGGGGAGTGCACGGGGAGTGCTTTGTGAGTGCTTTCGAGTGCTACCGAGTGCTATCGAGTGCACGGGGAGTGCACGGGGAGTGCACGGGGAGTGCTCTGTGAGTGCTTTTGAGTGCTACCGAGTGCTATAGAGTGCACGGGGAGTGCACAGGGAGTGCTCTGTGAGTGCTTTTGAGTGCTACCGAGTGCTATCGAGTGCACGGGGAGTGCACAGGGAGTGCTCTGCGAGTGCTTTTGAGTGCTATCGAGTGCTATCGAGTGCACGGGGAGTGCTCTGCGAGTGCTTTAGAGTGCTTCCGAGTGCTTCCGAGTGCTATCGAGTGCATGGGGAGTGCTCAGTGAGTGCTCTGGGGGTGCCTTAGAGTGCTTCCAAGTGCTTCCGAGTGCTTCCGAGTGCTATCGAGTGCACGGGGAGTGCTCAGGGAGTGCTCTGCGAGTGCTTTAGAGTGCTTTCGAGTGCTTCCGAGTGCTATCGAGTGCATGGGGAGTGCTCAGTGAGTGCTCTGCTAGTGCTTTAGAGTGCTTCCGAGTGCTATCGAGTGCACGGGGAGTGCATGGGGAGTGCTCTGTGAGTGCTTTTGAGTGCTACCGAGTGCTATAGAGTGCACGGGGAGTGCACAGGGAGTGCTTTGTGAGTGCTTTCGAGTGCTACCGAGTGCTATCGAGTGCACGGGGAGTGCACGGGGAGTGCTTTTGAGTGCTACCAAGTGCTATCGAGTGCATGGGGAGTGCTCTGTGAGTGCTTTTGAGTGCTACCGAGTGCTATAGAGTGCACGGGGAGTGCTCTGTGAGTGCTTTTGAGTGCTACCGAGTGCTATAGAGTGCACGGGGAGTGCACAGGGAGTGCTCTGTGAGTGCTACCGAGTGCTATCGAGTGCTATTGAGTGCACGGGGAGTGCTCTGTGAGTGCTACCGAGTGCTACCGAGTGCTATCGAGTGCACGGGGAGTGCACGGGGAGTGCTCTGTGAGTGCTTTCGAGTGCTACCGAGTGCTATCGAGTGCACGGGGAGTGCTCTGTGAGTGCTTTTGAGTGCTACCGAGTGCTATAGAGTGCACGGGGAGTGCTCTGTGAGTGCTTTTGAGTGCTACCGAGTGCTATAGAGTGCACGGGGAGTGCACAGGGAGTGCTCTGTGAGTGCTTTTGAGTGCTACCGAGTGCTATCGAGTGCACGGGGAGTGCTCTGTGAGTGCTTTTGAGTGCTACCGAGTGCTATCGAGTGCACGGGGAGTGCTCTGTGAGTGCTTTTGAGTGCTACCGAGTGCTATAGAGTGCACGGGGAGTGCTCTGTGAGTGCTTTTGAGTGCTACCGAGTGCTATCGAGTGCACGGGGAGTGCACGGGGAGTGCTCTGTGATTTAGTGCTTTCGAGTGCTACCGAGTGCTATCGAGTGCACGGGGAGTGCTCTGTGAGTGCTTTTGAGTGCTACCGAGTGCTACCGAGTGCACGGGGAGTGCACAGGGAGTGCTCTGTGAGTGCTTTTGAGTGCTACCGAGTGCTATCGAGTGCTATCGAGTGCACGGGGAGTGCACGGTGATTGCTCTGCGAGTGCTTTCGAGTGCTACCGAGTGCTATCGAGTGCACGGGGAGTGCACAGGGAGTGCTCTGCGAGTGCTTTTGAGTGCTACCGAGTGCTATCGAGTGCTATCGAGTGCACGGGGAGTGCTCTGTGAGTGCTTTCCAGTGCTACCGAGTGCTATCGAGTGCACGGGGAGTGCACGGTGATTGCTCTGTGAGTGCTTTCGAGTGCTACCGAGTGCTATCGAGTGCACGGTGAGTGCTCTGTGAGTGCTTTCGAGTGCTACCGAGTGCTATCAAGTGCACGGGGAGTGCACGGGGAGTGCTCTGTGAGTGCTTTTGAGTGCTACCGAGTGCTACCGAGTGCACGGGGAGTGCACGGGGAGTGCTCTGTGAGTGCTACCGAGTGCACGGGGAGTGCTCTGTGAGTGAGTGCTTGCTATAGAGTGCACGGGGAGTGCACGGGGAGTGCTCTGTGAGTGCTACCGAGTGCTATCGAGTGCTATCGAGTGCACGGGGAGTGCTCTGTGAGTGCTACCGAGTGCTATCGAGTGCTATCGAGTGCACGGGGAGTGCTCTGTGAGTGCTATCGAGTGCACGGGGAGTGCTCTGTGAGTGAGTGCTTGCTATAGAGTGCACGGGGAGTGCACGGGGAGTGCTCTGTGAGTGCTACCGAGTGCTACCGAGTGCTATCGAGTGCACGGGGAGTGCTCTGTGAGTGCTTTTGAGTGCTTGCTATCGAGTGCACGGGGAGTGCTCTGTGAGTGCTACCGAGCGCTACCGAGTGCTATCGAGTGCACGGGGAGTGCTCTGTGAGTGCTACCGAGTGCTACCGAGTGCTATCGAGTGCACGGGGAGTGCTCTGTGAGTGCTACCGAGTGCTTCCGAGTGCTCTGGAGTGCACGGGGAGTGCACAGGGAGTGCACACGCTCTCGCCGCATGGCATCGCCCATCCGCTCCAGTGATGACGACGACAACACGCCTTGCCTTGGGCCGAGCCGCTCTGGGAGAGCGCCGGCATGCGGGCGCGGAACGGCGGCCACCAAGGCGAAGAGCATGCCCACCGCCCTCCACTACTCGAGCGTTGTGAGGCAATCGAGGCAGGTCGTAGCAAGACTGTTGCCGAAACGAGCGATGAGGCGGAGCGGGCGTCGGGCAGCAAGCGTGCCCGAAGGAGCGGCTGTTGTGCTTGTTCGTTGTACACGGCGTTGAGATGTACCTTTTAGCTTACTGGGAGAAAAGAGAGAGGGGGTTGTGTTCTCTAGGCCCCTAAGGGGCCCGAGATGTACGTACGTACTTTTAGCTTACTGGGAGAAGTACGTACAGGCCTCGTCAGGTTTTTGCTCATGGTGCATTTACTCACACCACCGCAGTACAATTGATTGAGTCCGGGTTTTTTATGCGTATGATTGTAAGGGCGTAGGGACCCGCCCCAGGACAGGCTCTGTCGTTCTGATGGAGCGCTCTGGTGCCGAGGAGAGCCGCTGGCAAGAGGTAGATGTGAAGCCACGACGGGTCGGTACAGCAGGCCGACCAGAGAGTGCAGAGTGAGCACTGCCCCTCTCCAAGATCGACTCCTGTGGAGAAGCCCGCCTAGGACCATCAAGGGGAGGCCAGGTCCACTTGACCCGCGCAAAGAGCTAGATGCAGCCGTCGCCATTCTACGGCCTCAGAGCGTATGCCTTGCCGCCGGACGGTGGCGGTCGTGTCGGTGGTTGGGCTGTTTTGCACGACGGCTGTGGCGGCGCTCTGGAGGGGAGGGCGGCCACTTTCGGGTGGTGGATGACCGGCCTTTGAGGTCTTGCAACCCTAGCTGTGACAGCTTTGGACAGCTCGCGTAACCCTAGGAACAGCGGGCCGGCTAGGGTTGAGGCCACACAGCCCGGGACATGACGAGGGTGGTGGAGGTCCGAAATCACGCCGCTATGCCTCGGCTCCAGCGAGGTCTCTCAGACCCTAGCTCAGGTATAATGCAGTAGCCGGAAGCAGGGAACACTCACCCCCCAGCACCAGTCTTCTAGGTGGAGGCGGGCCCGCTGGTATCGTCGGGAAGGTCGAGGAGGGTGGGTGGATGAGCGAGAACCTGACAAGGCCTGTACTTTTAGCTTCGAGGGAGAAAAGAGAGAGGGGTGTTTACTTTTTACGGCCCTTTCCCTGCGAACGCGCACCCCCCCTAGCTAGGGGTCAGGGCTCTCTAGCCCGTAGCCCGATCCCGATCATCCGGCCCGCTGGGTGCGCTTCTCAGCTCCCCGGCCCTGGATGTGAGGCTGATAACTGCACTCCAAGTGCTCCAAGGGGGTTGTGTTCTCTAGGCCCCTAAGGGCCCTACGCGCGGCGTGAGAGCTCGGGAGATGTACTTTTAGCTACTGGGAGATGTAAAGAGACACGTACCCTGGGGTGTGGCCACACTTGGAGAACGTGTGTACAGAATGTCGAGAATGTCCAGAATCGGTGTCCAGAACGGAGATGTCTTCTACGGAAGGCGTCCAACGAGCAACGTCCGTGTGAGCACACACTCACTGTGGTTGCGCACGACATTAGAGTCAGGTCCTGAGCGCCCAAGGCCAGCCCTCACCTATTCAGTTAGAGTCCGATGGGTATGACCACACTTGGAGAGGTGTACAGTCTGTACAGAATGTGCAGAAGGTGTACAGAAGGTGTACAGAAGGTGTACAGAAGGTGTATTCTGGTCAACATACAGCTATTTAACCCTTCACCATTTGAGCAGGCCAGCTCCCCAACCCTGGCTTAATTAGTATTAGATCTAGATCTTTCATGTGCTGCTCTCAAATCTAGTCTTGTCCAGAATGGCGTCTGCGGTCCCGAGAAATTACGTAACAAAGGTTTCTCTGGACGCTCCACAAACCCTATTCTCAATGCCCCACCCCCCTGCGCGCGGGCCTTCTAGGCCCGCGGGTAGTCTCCCCCCATTCCCAGGGCCTCCAGGGCTCACACCTCAACCTCTCACAGACCAGCGCACAGCGCCATAGGAGGTATTTTCTTCTCAACAACAAGGCTGTGAAGTGGCAAGTGGGCGGCGAGGTGTCGGTGTGAACGCACCGACTAGGAGTGGGGGAGGCCTCACCGTGCAGATCGTGAGTCCTTCGGTAAGCGCGGGTTAGTGCTCACTAACCCGGCACGCGGCACGGGTTAGCACGGGTCAGAACGGGTTACCATAACCCGACGGAGGCCGGAGGGTGGGCGCCCACGGTTGCTGCGCCCGCGCAGGTGCTCGCCGAGGCGCCAATAATATTTCCCATGCCCGAGATGACGATCCGAGCGGTGTCGCTTTGAAGATCAATGTACCTTGGCGAGCTCGTGTTTGTCTCGTCCGGGTCCACCTCGAGAAAGCAGACGCAGGTCCGCTCCATGATGCTCGCCATCGCAGACTCCACCACGGCGCGGAAGTGGCCAACCCCGGCCTCCTCCGCAGCCCATTGGCCGGTAGGATTGCCATCGACATCGATTCGGATGCCAAGACTCTCCATCTGGGCGGCCGTCGGGTAGAACCAGCGGACAACGCCGCCGGCCCACTTCGGCTCTTTTCTGTACCAGGCGAGCGAGCGCCTCTCCGCCGTGGCTTTGCCAATTGCAGCTGGCAGCGCCGCTGCTGCGTCCGCGGCGGCTGTGGCGCCGGGGCAGCGCTGCCCACAGGGCGGCTCGGCGACGGCGGCGCCACCACGCGTCAGCCAGATGCCGCCGTCTCTCCAAGCGCAGAAGGACGCGCAGCTGCTACGCGAGCATGTGTCACGGTCAGGCGCCGCGACGACGCAGACCAGCCGAGCCGAGCCGAGTCGCCGCACGCAGGAGGTGACTCCGATGGAGCGGTCGGTGTGGCAATCGGCGAGGAGAGGTGGTGGCGCCAGCGTCGCGAATACGAAGGCGATCATGGAGAGCTACGGCGTCCAAGTTAAAAGAAAACGTGAATACGGCCGAAACGACGCCCTCTTCGGCGGCCTTCTTCGCGAGGAACTGGCGGCCAAACTCGTTGGTGCCCGCGAGCACAAGCGGGGCGATGGTGGAGAGGAAGAGGGCGCGCGCGTGCGTGTGTGTGTCCGCGCTGCAGCGATGATGTCACAGGACACCTCCGACTCGAACCCGAGACCCCACACAAAACGATAGCCCTTGAACCGCTAGACTACGGCCATGTTGCACATGTTACATGTACATGTATGTTGTTGTTGTTGTTGTTGTTGTTGTTGTTGTTGTCATGTGATACTTTCTCTCTGTCTATCTATCTATCTGCGCTCCTTTGCGGAATTTTGTCTCTGTGGTTGACTGGCGGTGGCTGACTGGCGTGGTTTGCAACCGAATGAATGAACGCGAGGCATGCGCCTGGCGCTGTCCTGAGGACTCTTTGCTTGCACGCTGCGATTAGCCGACACGCGCCACATTGCGTTTGAGGACCTCTTTGAATGTTGAGGACCTCTTTCTTGCACCTTGAAGGATGAGGACATCTCTTCGTCTGCCGGTCTGCGGCTTCCGCCACCGCACGTTGATCATCGCCGTGCCGCCGACGTCCAAGCCGACGTCCAAGCCGTCGTCGCTATCGCCGCTCCCGCCTCACGATGGTTTGGGCGATCTCGCTCTCCCGCCTCCTGGGGACCTGGGGATGCCTGGCCTCTAGTGCGCTACTCGAGTGGGCTCTCTGTTCAAAATATTGCCAAATTACGCACACATGTGCGCAGATAAACATCCTTAGAGTGCCACACACATTCTTTCCACGTGCGAATGTTCGGGTCGTCAACCGAGCTAACCGCGCCCCCCCCCGGGGGGGGAGGGGGGGGGCAGCGCGGGGCTATCGTGGACACGTGTGGTCACGGGGGAGTTGCACACGCGACACGGCACACCCAGCACGCGGTGCGGCCACTCCCACGCCGGCGGGGGCGCACGCGGTGTGATGTTTGCATCTTATTTGCTCGCAAAATGACAAGTTTGCGTGCAAATTTGCTGCAAATTTGACATTTCAAATCCATAAGAGTGACACTATGGATTCCGGGTGACACAGGTTTTTCGGCCCCCCCCGCGTCTCAATCGGATGACGGATGCACATACACAAACAAGACACACGCTCGCCGAACAGCGGGTGGTGCACGCGCCCCCGAAGAATGAGTGTACACCGGACCACCGTCCACTATCTTGCCGGACTGTACACTGTCTCCTGCCCGTCTCCCTCGAGGGCTCTCACCGCGGAGAGTGGAGAGTGGACTCAACGCTCCTCGCTCGCAGGACTCGGCGTCAACTTCTCGAGGCTCGAGCGAAGGCGGTCTCGGGTCAGGCGAGGACGCCGCAGCCAATCTTGGCGCCACCGGGCGCGTGCACGATCACAACGCGGTCCAGAGCCGTCATCGGGTTCACATTCAGGTCGGAAGCCGACAGCACCACGGTGAGGTCCGCCACGGTAGATCCAGCCGGCGTGTGCCACACCGCGTTGGCCTGGCCGTCGGAGAAGAAGCTGGCACCCCAGGGGTCCTCCGAGGCGTCAAGGACGGCGGGGTCGGACGGCACGTAGTAGTGCCCCTTGTTGGCGCCTGCAGGCGCGTCGCCCTTGACGGTCGTCTCGTTGCCGCACGCAAATCCTGTGCGAAGGGGAGGTGGGCGGGTGAGAGCGAGTGTGTTGTCAACCATGCATGGCGGAGTGGGCGAACCGTAGTGAATATGGATGCCGCCCGACTCGTTCGCGGGGAGGTTTTCCAGCATCGCGTGGAGCGTCAGCTCGGCGTCGGAGACGGTGACGGACACCGTGCCGAGGCTGGCGTCGCCGACGCCGAATGGCATGATCTCTGCCGTTTGGGTGGTGGACAAGGGCGTGCTCGAAAAGGCGTAAGCCTGCATGAGGAGGAGGGAGAGGACACACTCGCGAAGCATTTTGCGGTCGCCTCGGAAGCAGCGTCGGCTAGAGGTGCTCGTGAAACTCGGCGGTGTGGGCTGTGAAGAGGCCTGCGGGCGTGTCCCATCCCCAGGGCCTCCAGGGCTCGCACCTCAACCTCTGCTCTCATATAGACCAGCGCGCACATTTTCTTCTCAACCAATACGACAGGGTTGGACCCCGACCCCGACCCCACCCCTCGGGTGAGGGGACACGCCCCTGTCGGGCACCGCTTGCGGCGCCTGGCAGGGGCACCCCCTGGGTGGGGGCCGGCGATTCCCATGCCGGCTCTCCGCCACAACCCCCGCCGGAAGGGAATCCCCGCTCACAGAAAAGGCAAAAGGGCTCCAAGCCCTGTCTCGCGCACGCCCCTGGCGGCCGCCGCGCGGATTTTACCCGGGCTTTTCGGCATTTTCTGCTTGCTGACCACTGAACAACAGTAACAACAGTAACAAACAGTAACAGCTTGGGCTGGAGAGAACACTCGAACAAAGTTGAGGATTTCAGCCAACACTAGCGCAACTGTTAGGCCCAAAGTTAACGTTTGACAGCTCCATTTTTGCCCCCCCCCCCCCCCCCCTAAGGCAGTCGATAAATCTTACCTTATATTTCCCGCTGGCCCCTTTCTTCGTTTCGCCGGCATCGCCAAAAGTGATACCAACATATGCCCCTCTCAGCAGAGCAGCAGCGCGAGCGCCGCGCAGTAAAGCGCGCTGCAGAGGAGGCAGCTGGCGTCTTCCGTCGCCGACGCGGTCGTCTCGCTGCAGGGCATGTGTGGGACGAGCAGACTGGCACAGCCGTGCCGCAGGCGACGCAGCCTCCAACGAGCCCATCAGCGGAGGAGGGTGAGAGTGTCCCTCTCACTGCTGGCCTGGCTGTGCCGCACTATTTGCTCGATCGCGGCGAGCAGGCCAGGAGACCAGATCATATTGAATATATTGCTGCAATAGTTACAGAGGCGATCAATATCAATATATATTGCAATAGTTAGAGGAGAGGCTGGGCCTGGGCTGGTCAGGACCGTCAGGTTGCACTCAACATATATCAATATATCCAGCGGTGGCGGTCCATCCCGGGCTTGAAAATGGCTCTAAATCGTTCAAAACGGGCCCAAATCGCTTCAAAATCGCTTAAATCGCATTAAAATCGCTGCGATTTTTTCGATTTCAGCCCACGTCTAGGCGATGTGTAAATTAAGTAAATTAACAAACATCCGATGTTTGGGACAAATGTCGACATTTGGTGCTCTTGTAAAATCAGCGATCGATATGTCAATATATTGTCAATAGTTAGAGGGGATGCTGTCAATAATCAATATCAATAGTTACAGAGCGAGAATCAACATTTTTCGACTGCCTTACCCCCCCCCCCCCCCTTATTTTTTTTTTCATCTTTTTCTTTTTCTTTTACTTCTTTCATTATTTTTTTTATTTTTTCTTTCCTTCTATTTCCCTTTTCCCTACTCTTATATTCTTTTTTATTTTTCTTATCCTCTCTTCTCTTCTTTTTTTTCTTTTTTTTCTTTCTTTCTCTTCTTTTTTATTTATCTCTTCTTTCTTTTCCTTTCTTCTTCTCTCTTTCTTTATTCCTTTTTTTTT